CCCAAACATCCTTGGAACTCATCGATTTCATCTCGTCTTCCATTGCCTTCATCCACATCGATGAATGAGGGCTTCTCATGGCTTGTTCATATGAGGTGGGATCTTTTTCCATATGAACCATTTCTGTGTTATAAACTTTAAAGTCAGTAGGAATAGCTGACTTTCTTGGTCTTGTAGACCTTCTAAGGGCCTCTGTTTCTGGCACATTTTGTGCCTCAACTTCTGGCACTTCTTCTAAAATTTGTTGCTGCACCTCCCTTTCATGCTCAACAATGGGTGCAGTCGGCTCCTGACGGACAGGTTCCGGGTCTACTCCCATAGTTGTCATGGATGGAGTTGCAACTGGTAGTGAGAAAAATGGCTCCTAAATCATCGGATTAATTAGGTGCATGCACCCTCTTCTCCTCAAGATCAATTTTCCGAGCTACCAAGCTCCCCCCTCATCATTTCGTCCTCTAAGAAGACTGCATGTCTCGTTTCTACAAACTTTTAATATCTATCTGGGCAGTAGAAACGAAAACCCTTTGATCTGTCTGGATAGCCAATGAAGTGGCAACTCACTGTTTTGGGATCTAACTTTGCAATGTTTGGATTAAATATTTTGGCCTCAGCAGGGCACCCCCACACCCTAAAGTGTTGTAGGGAAGGAACCCTTCCTGTCCATAGCTCGTACGATGTTTTGGGCACCGGCTTGCTTGGTACTCTATTGAGAATGTGAATGGCGGTTTTAAGCGCCTTCATCCATAATCCCAATGGCAAGTTGGAATAACTCATCATACTGCGCAGCATATCCATAAGTGTACGGTTGCACCTTTCAGCTACTCCATTTTGCTGAGGCTTGCCCGGCATTTAATACTGGGCTACTATGCTAGTCTCCTGCAAGAACTTTGCAAAAGGTCCAGGGACTTGGCCATATGGAGTGTGCCGACCGTAGTACTCTCCCTCACGGTCGGACCTGACTATCTTTATTCTTTTATCATGCTGATTTTCAACTTCAGCTTTGAATATTTTAAATTTATCCAACGCTTCAGATCTTTCTTTGATTGGATAAATATATCCATAGCGAGAGTAATCGTCTGTGAATGTTATGAACGAGTCATATCCATCCACACTTTTCACCGGAAATGGTCCACAAATGTCAGTGTGGATGATTTCTAGTGTGCTTGTGCTATGGATGGCACCTTTTTGATTTGTTTTATATACTTTCCTTTAATGCAATCTATGCATTGTTCTAAGTCTGAGAATTCTAATGAAGGAAGAATTTCACTCTTGACTAATCTTTCTATTCTCCCCTTGGAAATATGGCCCAAGCGACAGTGCCATAATTTCGATGAGTCGAATGTTCTCTTTCTTTTCTTTTGTTATTTATTCGACGCGGAAACATGTTCTTTCACATTGCATACAGAATAAACTTTTTCACGAAGTGATAACAAATAAAGCTCATCGTGTAGTAAAGCATCACCCACATAAGCATTATTTAACCATATGGCACACTTGCCATGTCCAAAATAACATTCATAATTATCTTTGTCCAAACAAGAAACACTAATTAAGTTTCCATGACATGATGGAACAAATAAAACATCTCTAAGTAGAAGATTGAATCCGTCAGCTAACTCCAAGGAGATGTCACCGACAGCTTCAACTCCTGCTTCAACTCCGTTTGCCACTTCAATGCGTCTTTCGCTTCTTAGAGTAGTCCGCGTCGAATGGAATCCCCGTAAAGAATTTGCAACATGAGCAGTTGCTCCTGAATCAATCCACCAAGTGGATTTTGAAAATTGTGTATACAAGGATTCATTGACAAATGAAACTATATTGTTACCTCTTCTTGCCATGACCGACTTCAGCCAAGCAGGGCAGTCTTTCTTGTAATGCCCTTTCTTCTTGCAGTGGAGACAAGTGTCTTTGTCCACTAAGACAGGCTGTTGCTGATGCTGATGCTGATAGGGAGCTTTTCCATGCTTTGAAGGAGAACTTTTGTTGTTTTGATTGTAGTTCTTTTTCTTGTAATCCTTCACATAGTTGAGTGAACCACCATGTGCGGCTTTGGGTCTGTCCTCTTCTTGGACACACATTGCTATTGTCTTTTCAATGTCCCATGTTCCAGGTGACATATTATAGTTTACAACAAAAGTTCCAAACTTCTTTGGCAGTGAAGCCATGACCAGGTGGACCAGGAGCTTTGGTTTGATATCCAGATCCTCATCCATGGGCTTTAGCTTTGCTGCCATATTGCTCATCCTAAGGATGTGCTCTCTTATTCCATGACTACCACCTGTGTGGCGTTCTGTCACCAGTTGCTCTAACACCTGGGTGGCATATATCTTTGAAGAGCCAGTAACTGGTTCTTTATCTTTGTAAGCAACTCCCCTGCGGAAGTGCACTATGCAATGGAGCCCACAATGGTGCTCTTGATTGTATTCTTTATAAATTCCATGCACTTTTTGTTTGCATTGACCCACTTTTGGTTTTCTATGAGGTAGAACATCTCCAAAGGAGCATAGCCCCCCCTCTTTTTAGACCATGCAGCATCATCATCAGTGGCCTCTCTTACTGGCTCTGTGGGTCTGATCGGCTGTGGTTCTTCCACAACCCAATACAAATCAGCACAAACAAATGCCAGTTCTACTTTCTTCCTCCACTCAGTGTGGTTGTCACCTCTAAGTGTCGGAACTTCTTTTAGGCAACTCATCAAGTGATGGCCTCCCGAAATCACAATTTAAGTGACAACAGTATAACAATCATATGCATTAATCTAACGTTGGTCAAATTAAACACACAATTGTCTATGCAATTAAATCTATATTACCGTTGGGTAAAATTATTAGAAATAAAAGCACCTTTAAATTTCAATAAAAAACATGATCATGTTATTAATAACGTTGGTCATAAAAAATAACATAATCATATCATTTCAATAATTACTTTAACATGCTTTTAAAAACATAATTCCTTCTAAGCTTTTATTTTCTTTGTAAAAGAGCAATGTCAATTATTTACGCAGCGGAAAAACATGAATAAAAAATTCACTAACTTTTTACTCTCTACAGAAACTTTTCTTTGATCGAATGAAAAATCATGAACTTTTTAATTTTCTTAATAAAATTCATGAACATTTCTTTTTCTGGACAAAAAATCTTTGGATTAATTTGAACAGAAAGACTATAAAAAATTAGCCAGCTCTAGCCGGCATCGGCCTGGCGGGGGAGGCCCGCAGCGGCCCGCGGCCTACTCCCCCGCACACTCGCACGAGCCGACCTGGCCTCGGGCTGGGCCGCTGGCCTCGGCCCAGCGCAGCCCAGCCGCCGAGCCTGCACTTTCGGCCCAGTAAAACCCACGCGCGGGGCTAGGGTTTGCATCCAGGGTGTTGATTTTGATCGAACGGTGACCCGTTCTTTTCTCTCGAACAAAACAGGAGACCGAGCGAGACATCGATCCAGTTCCTCTCCTCGCCCGCCGCTCTCGCCCTCTCGGGGCGGCTGCGCCGGCCCGGCCGCCGGCCCTGGTCGCCGGCGACGGCGGCCACCGCGCGACGTCGTGCCTATCTCTCTCCCTCCCCCACCTTTCCTCTTCTCTTCTCCAGCAACAGAGAGTGAGGGAGAGAGCATAGAAATCCCGATGCGGTGGGTTGGGGTCACGCCGGCCGCTGGCGACGGCTCGAGCCACGCCGCGTGAGCCTTCCCCTTCCCCTTTCCCGCTCCATTTCCGCGAGACAGAGAGACGCATCGAGGCTCCCCCTTTCCTTCTCAGCGAGAGGAAGTGGATCGCGGCCAGATCGCGCCGTGACCATCCTCCTTGCCCGTCACGCGTCCTTCCTAGCGGCGGGCGCGTCGCCGTCGAGGGATTTGGCCGCGGTGCTGACCGCTTTCCCCCTTTTTTCTTTTCTTTTCCGGTGAGCAATTGCTTGCTCCGGTGGTTCTTCTTCCGGACGCCTCGGCTTGCCGATGCGCGTCCGGATCGAGAGGAACGGCGCGGCCTTGCGGCGGCACGATTACTTTGCCTTTTGCCCCTTGTTCTTTTAGGGTTGGGTTCATGTGGGGGAAACTCTTTCTTTCTCTGATTTCCTTTTCTTTCTGAAAAAACTCAGCCAAGATGGTTCTGATACCATTGATAGATCCTTTGGATTGAATTTGGCTAGTTACTCCGGTAACCTACCTTCTCCTGGTACGGATGAGCTCGATCCAGCGCCGCCCATGGTGGTGTGGTGATGATGGCGATGTGGACAGAGATGGCGGCGATGGTGTGCTTCCCGTGAGCACCGCGCTTACCCTAGATCGGTAGGGAGTGTTTGGTGGAGTTTGTGGCAGTGATCAACGTCGTGAGTCGTGCCCCGACCCCCACCTCTATTATATAGCGCGGGTCGCAGGGGCCCACCAACCATGGTTTGGTTGGGCGCCCCCGATCAGGGCGCGGGTCAAGGGCCCGTCGAGCCGTTGGACTCGATCGGGAGGAGATCAACCTAACACCAAGATGTCAATTAAATCATCATCCCGCGGGCACCTAATATAGCTGCGCTAGAACGTGTGGTTATTTTTGCTTCGTGCCACACACACAGGATGAAGATGAGTAGCACTTGTTGGACGTGTGACACGAAGTAGCCGTGCCCACACGTGTGGGCAATTCTAATGTTCGACCACACAAAACTCGTGTGGGCTGCCTCCTGCTTACACCATACATGATGTGTGAAGTCCTTTTAACGCCCACACGTGTGAGCGTTATGGGCGTCAAAAAATATGAGTTCCACTCGCATCCATCCGTTCATCCAGCGTCTAGTCCGAACGGGGTGAGTGAATAATGCAGGCTTTATTTTCCCCTTACGTTGTTTGTCTTCGTCTTCTCCTTCCTCCGTTCTCCCCCAAACCGCGAGACATCAGCAAACCCTTCTCCAAACAGAACTCTCCGCTCTCGCCCGCACCGCGCTCCAGTTCCCGCCCGCAGCACCATGCTCATCGCCACCTCGTGATTCCTACTCCCCGAACCCGCACCCAGAATTCGCCATGGCGGCGTCGGAGCGGGAGGCCGGCCTCCTCGCCCGCGTGGCCGCGAACCACCTCTTCCTCGCTCAATTCGAGCCCATGCGCGCGGCTCTACTCAGCCTCCGCCGCCGCACCGATCCCGATCTCGCTGCAGACTTCCTCCGCGCGGTGGTCGCCTCGGGGGGCCGCGTCCCTGGCGTGCTCTGGTCGGCGCTGCCCGCCTGCCCCTCCTCCTCCCACCTCGCCTGGCTCGCCGCGCTTGAGCTCGCTGCCCTCCCTTCCACTCCCAACCCCGAGTCGCTCCGCCTCAAGGCTGAGTTTCTCATTCTTCTCCAGCCCATCGCTGATGACCCTGCCACCGGCGTCGATGCTCGGGGAACGCTCGTGAAGCTGCTGGATTTGGGGGTGGCGAGGCTGAAACGCGAGGTCGACGGCTATGGGGAACCTGTCGAGGAGGTCCCGGTCACCGAGGAGGATCTGAGGGGGTTGTGGGGGGTGGTCCTCGACAATGCCGAGCTGTTTGACGCCCTGTGTGCGGGCGTTTCGAGGCAGATCGGACTGGACTCAGGTTTTGGTGTAAATGTGCTCCTGTCGTTGCGACGTAGCGTGCAGCTCGCCCACTTGGACGCCATGAAGGCGCTTGTCATGGCTGGTGACGTCGAAAGTGTTACTGGGCATATCCGGTTCCTCTGTTTGGAGAATGGTGTAGAGGAGGACAGTTATAAGTAAGCTCTATTGCAGCACCTTTTGTTAATTTCTAAATACGAATCCGGTCATCATTTCCTGTGGAACATCTCGACATATGTTCGATAAAGTTGCAAGCTAAGACTTTAATGGACATCTCAAGCTGGCATGGTGCGGTTGATTGTAGCTTTAGGTACAATCTGTATTTGTGTGATTGCCCATTAAGAATCCGTGAAACATTCGAGCTAAATTACAGCCTTGAGTTAAGGTCCATGTGTATGTCATGGATGATCTTTTGTAGTCCCATTCCATATCAATGTCTCGATGAAAACAGTGAGCCCCTGTACTCTTGAGGTAATCTATGTTGGTACTGGAATTTGCAAATTACAAGTTTTTAGACATGCTTGTTTACCATCACTCATCATGATAATAGTTCAATGGGCGCAGCAAATATAGACCAGGAAAGTAAGATGATATACTCTTACAGTGACTAGTGAACTGCTAACCACCAGGTGTTATCCAAAGCAATGTTGTCGAATTTTAATGTAGCATCACCATATTTGCGTTTGTCATTTCAGATTAACATGTTCAAGTGTGTGGTGATAGATTTGGATATGATCAAATGTTCAATATTTTTTAATATAATTTCTTTTTGCAGGGTTGTCCTAGGTGATGTTGTGAAAAAGGGTTGGGAAAAATCATCAAATTATTTTGGAAAATGGTTTGAATCGCGTAATGGAATCATTACAATTTATGGAGAAGCACTTCAGTCAAGCAGTCCCCAGCTTGTTCAACTAATTCAGGTAAATGCAAAATTTTCATTCTTACTGGTATGGTTCTTCCATTGAAGTAGGTTACCACGAATTTGGTTGCCTGTTCATTTTTTATCAGACTTCCATTACCCGTTGATGACATGTGATCATCTACAAGAAGGGAAATTTGATTTACTTTTGTAGCGCACAGAAATTCAAGATCATTGAACACTCTGAATCCCAGATTCTGAGCTTTATTCCTTCATCATTATTCTGTGCTTTAGTTGAACAATAAATTAATGCCGGTGGCCAGTTGTACCTTCCCGTGTTACTTCCTTCTCCATTGTACCTAAGAACATCCACATCTCTTATCACCTAATTTAGGTGCTAAGATGGACGCATCAGCTCTCTCTGTAATAATTATTTAGCTTCTACCCTCGCATTTGTGGCTGCGTACTATAGACCCAAAGTGGTCGGACCCTTCGCTGGACCCTGCGCAAGCGGGAGCTACATGCACCGGGCTGCCCTTTTTTATGCTACTTTATCTATCTCTCCTTTAGATTCTACCCAGGATCATCTGATGCGGATGCTCTAGCATATTGCCAGTATTTAGCTTTTGGAATGGTTATACATACTTGGTTTTAGATGGCTGATGCTAATATCTTTTTTTTTGGCTACCGATACCAGATCATTCTGGATGACATTCTTTCTGAAGAATTTGAAGACCACAGTATCTCTGATGCTCATTGGATGCCTCTTCCTTTCAAGAAGTTTCTGGAAACATTGTGGTTGGAGAGGGATGCTGATTCAGATGACAGGACCATTTTGACCGAAGCTATAGTATCCTGCAAGAAAGATCTGTTCCACTATTCTCGACTTTCTGGAAAGCATGTCCTTGAAGTTATCATGGAAACTGCTCTATCATTAATTAAGAGAGAACAGCTTCAAGAAGCTGTTAATGTATGCTAGTTTTCAGTGGGATACTGCCATTTATTTATTTGTGGATCTGCTATGAGCACTGCAGAACTGATTCTGCTAGTTTTCTGCCGCATTAACTTCTGGCAAGTTGCTTTCTGCAGGTTGTTTCTTTATTTCCCCTTCTCCAGCCATTGGTTGCTGTATTGGGTTGGGATATTCTGAAGGGTAAGACAGAACTGCGGAGAAAGTTAATGCAGTTGTTCTGGACAAGCAAATCCCAAGCTCTGCGTCTACAAGAATATTCACATTACCGTGCACAGACGGATGAGGTACTTCCTTTTCTCTTGAATCATCTTGCCTCTATGATATTGTTTAGCAAAAATATGTGAAGGATTACAAGTTTTCTATTGGCAGACATCCTGTGAGGAGTACCTATGTGACCTGTTATGCTTTCATCTGGATCTTGCATCCTTCGTTTCCAGTGTGAATTCTGGGCACCCTTGGAATTTGAGGAATTCATTGTTATTCTCCCAACAAGAGCAAGATTCAGTTGTTAATGCAGAAACATTAGATCCTTTTGTTGAGAACATGATACTTGAGCGGTTAGCTGTTCAGACTCCCATGAGAGTGAGTTCTCTTATCTGAATTTGTGATCTCATTTTTTTTTATGGTTCTACATGTGGCCATATGTTTATCAGTCCTTCACACCTTCTATGATTGCCTCATGTACATTTTGGTCTCCCATGTTGGTTGCAAAACATTTGGTTTCCTAGTTGATAGTTTGATGCTCTTCTGATTTATCTTTTTACTTGCAGGTGCTGTTTGACGTGGTCCCAGGAATAAAGTTTCAAGATGCAATTGAGCTTGTTGGTATGCAGCCACTTTCTTCAACAACTGCAGCTTCGAAAAGGTTCACAACCAACTTTTTTTTGAGACAGTGCAGGAGTGCTGCATGTAGATATATTAGGATATGAAAAAAGGTCTTACACGCACGAGGGGAGTGACCGACAATAAGTTTGAAAAAGTAGAACAAAACCACACTGTACACTCAACAGGAAAAAAATAACCTCCTACAGCTAAAGCCGCTCATCTTGCTAGCCCCAGTCAAGCTTCATGATTTGAAGTGTGTTGCACTACTCGACGATATGAAAGTGTCCTTCACAACCATTTATGACATCACATTTTTAACTGCTATGTTGTATTAACATCGTAAATATCATCTTCTTTACTTCTATCATTCTATGCTTCATGTTTCCTGCAAGCATAAAGATTTTCTCTTCTTTAGTTTTTGACCTGAGCATTCCTGAGGTGCCTTCTGCTACTTTGGTAAATGCCGTATAACATCCCCCCCACCCCCAACAAAAAAGCACACACGCAGAGGGAGAGAGAGACAAGAAAACTCGCGGGATTGTTCACTGATGAATTGACACTATTGTTCTCGTGAGCAGTTTATTTCATGTGGGCTTCTTGTACCTATGGCAGGATGCATGACATCGAGCTGATGCACATGCGATATGCTCTACAGTCAGTTGCCCTTTCTTTAGGGGAGATGGAGAAGTGTGCAGGTGATGGGAATGAGCACCATTATCACATAGCTTTGTCATATTTGAAGGAGATGCAAAATTTTATGGAGGCTATCGAAAGCACTCCACGAAAGGTTTGGCTCTGCTTTGTCATATTGATATTTTCAGGAGTCATGCTAGAATGCTAGTCTTGAAAGCTTCAGAGAAGTCGTCAGTTGAACAGTTAAGCTTCATTGGGCTACTTTCCTTTGCAGATTTTCATGGTCAGCATTGTATTATCATTATTACATATGGACGACACTATCAAGTTGCCGCAAGCCGCCCCCCCAGAGTGTTCTGTCATTCATGATTGCTGTGATAGTAATACTGAATCTGAAGGGAAGAACATGGTGATATCTTTTGTTGGACTTCTGCTTGACATACTTCGACATAATGTCCTATTTAAAGGCCCTGATATGGATCAGTTGCCAAGTACTGGTCTGTCACCTGCTGGCAGGCAAGCGTTAGAGTGGAGACTCAAACATGCCAGCCATTCCATTGAAGACATGGATTGGCGTCTATCTGTTCTACAACGCCTCCCACCTCTGTCTGGGCGACAATGGAGTTGGAAGGAGGCATTAGTTGTTTTACGTGCCGCTCCTTCAAAATTGTTGAACGTGTGAGTTTTCTGTTCTGTACATTGGTTTCTTACTGTATTTTACTTTATTCACTTTATGCATCCTAAGATCAGGCTTTAATGTGGGCTCTTTGCGCATTACCCAGTATAATTACCTCACATATTTGTTCACTATATTGAGGTCACATGGTGGTAAATATCACTGTTTATTCTCTGTGCTTCTTGTGGAACTTCTGTAGTTCTCTCTCCCTGTGTGTGTGTGTGTGTGTGTCACATGGTTGTGGAGTTCATTGGAATTCTTGACAGGTGCATGCAAAGGGCAAATTATGGTATAGGAGAGGAAGCTGTACAACGATTTTCTTTGCCTGCTGAGGATAAAGCTTCTCTTGAATTAGCTGAATGGGTAGCTGGTGCATACAGAAGAGCATTGGTATGCCTTTTCTTGCCTTTTTTTTTGTTTCTTTATTGGTTGGGATGAAGTGATGTGGTCCCCTTTCTTGTCCATGCACATATAGCACATAGAATTTTACACTTATATAGGCTCTTCCTCTCCCCCCCTCTCGCTCAGCAGAGGGAAGGAGAGATGGAAGGGGAATGATTGGAAGTGTGGTAGTGGCAGAAATTTATGATTATAACTTATAAGTGCCAGTCACAGAAGAAGTAGCAAACTCTCGGCAGAGGGAAAGAGATGTAAAGGAATTGAGAATGTTTGACTGCAATTCTAGGATGTCACTTTATTCTTTGACCGGACAGAGTGCATATCAAACCATTTTGCAATGTACTCATATTAGAATTTTTGGATAGGCAGATATACAATTTTGTGATCTGCTATCAATCTACCTCAGGTGAATACTTGATTGTGGCAGGATCGAAGGAAAAATGACAAATGGGTTCTGTGCAGTACCCCCACTTCATTTTTGCTTTCTTCAGAACAATTAAATGTCGTTTGATGTTACAAAATATTTAAGGTTGTGTCAAACTTTATGTTTCTTATTTCCGTGTTTTATGCCCAGGTTGAGGATGCTCTAAATCGGGCCACAGACAACCCAAATGTTGCACGCGAATCAGATATTTTGTCATTCCGTGCTCAGCTTGGTCCTTTAACTACGGTCAGGATTTTAAATCATGATCTGCATTTGATGTTGTTAATGATAGGTATTTGTAGTATTTGACCTGACAATAAATCTGAACTGTCAGATTCTGCTTTGTATTGATGTTGCTGCAACTTCTGCTAGGTCAGGGGATATGTGTCGATTTCTTCTCGATGAGGTAAGCGTTGACTGTCATGCATTTCTACATCTCGGGCACTCACTTTTTGTACAGTATCTATTCCATCCGTTCACAAATATAAGATGTTTTGGATATATCAATATGGACTACATACGGACTGAAATGAGTGAACAAACTCACTAAAACGTGTCTACATACATCCGATTCAGAAAAGTTAGAACATCTTATATTTGTGAACGGAGGGAGTAGTTCATTGTGTATATCTTCACTCCTGCTGTTATACAATTTCTGGTGAGAAGATGGTTTTTACTGATAAATTTTTGGAGAGCTTCCTGTAACTATTTTTTGTGGAATTAATGAATGATAGGCTCTCCTTTCGTTTTTGCCTTGTATGATTATGTTGCAATCTTCCAAATTTGAATTTTTGGATTTCTTAGTGATTGATTGGGTCATAAACACGGATTGAGTCTCGTCCTGCATTCCGTACTAGTGCCCGTAAGAACACTACCCGTCTGGTCCACATTCCTAGCTACCCACCACCCACGCCTCATGACGCCATTCCCAGACCTGGGTATCTGGTGACTAACCAGAATGTACTTCGCCTATCTCTGTGTTTTGTCTTGTTTAATTTGGCATCTGTTTTTGCTACCAGAAAGTGTGTATGCTATCTTATGCCATCTATGTCAATTCTAGTTGCACAAGCTAGCCAAGATCAATTAGGTAACCATATTGCTTTTAGCATAGTGCCATAGTGTGTGTAAACTGTCAATCTTGTAAAGAAAGTGTAACCTGATGTTTTCTTCTTCTCATGTACAGGCTACAAGTTTGTTATCTGAAATATTTCCAGGAACCTCCCCAAAAATAGGTCCAACTTATTGGGATCAGATTCAAGAAGTTGCTATCATATTAGTGATAAAGCGCATCCTTCAGCGCCTCAGTGGCATTTTAGATCTCGTGAGTTTTTTATTTTCTTGTGCCTATCAGTAAATCATGCATGGTTCATTTTCATTATTGAATTTCTTCCTCTTGTGTACCATTTGTTTATTTACTTGAGCAAGATGTTTGCGAGTCTTAACGTACAATTTCAGCATTGGAGGATGTATCAAAGGCCTCTCTCAGTTCATTACATGTTCAGTAGCATAATCTAATGCCGTACTCTTTTCTTTATAAAACAGTATTTGATTATTTTTATGGCTTTGATTTTAATTATCATACCAAAGAAAGATATCTGTGTATTTGTTTAACAAATCGACTTGACTATGTAGTTATTTTTTAATACCTAATGCATACTTTTTGGTGTCATCTAGGAAGGTCGGCCATATCTTCAAGTAGTTTTTACCGAAGTGAGTACCTCTTTGTCAACTGAATCTAGCAGAGTTGGACAAAAGCAACGTCCACTTGGACTCCTGCATCAGATGATTGATGATGCCTTCAGAGGAAAGCGTCAGTTCTTGAATGGTAATGCCTACTTTATTCAGTTGAACTGTAATTGTTGTTGCGATTATGTTCTAGAGACATTTCTGAACTCTTCTATTTCAGGTAAACTTCACAATGTTGCAAGAGCTATTGTTGATGAAGATTCGGATAAAATTTACTCAAAAGACGGTACCAAGTCAGAAAAAAAAGATGCTTTGATATCCGAAAAAGGTACAGTCCTTGGTCATGGACTTAGAATCCTGAAACAAGCATCTAAGACTGACCCAACAGCTTCAAGTGTTCCTGAAAGCAGTTCAGACCACAAAGGTTCTACAAACAGATACTTGGGTCATGTATCTACCAAGCCGTCGACATACTTATCAAACTTCATAATATATATTGCAACCATTGGTGACATAGTTGATGGAACTGACACGACTCATGATTTCAACTACTTCTCATTGGTGTACGAACGACCAAAAGATGTAAGCTCCTTCACACGCTGGGTAAAAAATGTACCGTTTGTCCTTTTCTTTTACTTCTTCCAAAAATTACATGAAAGACCATAGCAAATTGTCCTCTTTAGAATGACATTTACTACTAATAACTGGAAACGGAGTGCTGGTTGTATTTGTAATCACCTAAAACAAATAACTAACACCTCCGCCCCAAATTAGTTGTCTTAGATTGTCTAGATACGGATGTATCTAACACTAAAATGTGTCTTGATACATCCGTATCTAGACAAATCTAAGACAACTAATTCGGGACGGAGGGAGTACTTATTAAGAAATTCACTCCACCTACATGTTTACCAAATTCAGTTACCCTATAATTCACTTACATAACTCATCCCCATATTATTGAAAAGGGGAGGATAGGCAGGAAGAACTACCTATATTTAACTTCAAGACTGGGGATTTGCACCCAAGGTCTCAACCAGGGACGGAGCTAGGAATTTTATTTGAGGGGGCCCATACATAAGAATTTAGTGGTCAAATTCACAAGTCCACGTACTACTTAGGGGCAGTTTAAGATTATTTTTTTACAGCATGGGGAAGCCATAAGTGGATGAATAAGTTCCCATGGCTTCTAGTATTTTGATATATCTTTGGCTGAATGTGGAACCTCATGGCTGAACAAATTATAAATAAATACTCCCTCCGTCCGGAAATACTTGTCATCAAAATGAATAAAGAGAGATGTATCTAGAGCTGAAATATGTCTAGATACATCCCCTTTTATCCATTTTGATGACAAGTATCTTGGGACGGAGGGAGTATTAGTTATCACTTGTAGGTATTCGTGGGATTTTGTCTATGAGCTTAGAGCATCTCTAATCAATCCCCTATAATTTAGAGAAGTTAACGGCCGAGTATCCTTTAGAGGAGTACATTTGCTCTTCTAAAAAAGTGTCGTTTCTAACCGCCCCCCTAAACTTAGATTAGTAAAACTTACATTTGGCTCATACATTTCGTCAAACAGTTGCTATGCGCCTTCGTGGCGGGCGGCGACGATGGTGACCACGCTGGAGTCATGAGTCTTTGTCCGCTGCCGAACGCATCACACTCATCGCACGTTGCCTGCCTCATCGTGTTGTTGCTCACTGCCGCATGCGCTGCTTGTGCTCCCTGGGTGGATCCCGAGCCGCCCGAGTGGCGGAGCAGCCTGGGGTACCCGGAGGGGCCATCCGCTCCATCCTCATGCCGCGCTTCCTCCGGTGGCCGGACCGTGAATCCGCCACAGCTGCCGCCGTCAAGGCCAGCTCCCGTGTGTCCGGCAGGTGGTCGTGGCCGTGGACGCCGCTGCCAAGGCCAGGGACAAGATCGCGCAAAACCTCCTCCACCGTGGCTTCGCCGGCTCCGACTACGGGAGGAGCATGGCCGGAGACGATGGAAAGGACAAAAAAAGAAAAAAAAAGATCAGCGGAATCCCGCTGTAATCTTGCCGGAATTTGGTGGCGGAAGGTCGACGGGGCTGCGGGGTGTCGGCGGTGGCCGGCGGAGGCAAGGATGGCGGCGCTGGAGTGGATGCGGCCGAGCAGGGCAGAGCGGTGGGCGAGAATGGAGGCAAAAATATTTTACTCCACGGGTGGGCGAACGAGTATCTTTACTCCTCGGGGAGGCCGCGGAGGATAAATTACCCTCCTCTAACCGTTATAAGGGATCGGTTAGGTGCCAGTTAGAGGAGGAAAACAAAATCTATCCTCCTCTAACCGATATAGGGGATTGTTTAGAGATTCTCTTGTGTAGTAAAGTATTTGCAACCCACGTTAGTCTAGCTTGGCAATGGTCAACTCTGTTCAGTGTGAATTTCTTCAACAACATTAATACTACGTAGAGACCCTCACTGATCAGTGCAAGGCAACATTCATAATGTGGAGTATGGTTGGAGCGAAGGAGCTTCAGGCCTTTACATGGCAGTGGTCGTTGCGTTGTATCACCTTTAGATCTTTGATTTTTCTCATGTTTATTCAGTCACGCGCTAAGCACCGATACGGATACGAGTATCGGTATCGGGCCGATACGGATGCGTAAATTCGCTATTTTGAAAAAAATGCCAACACGGGGATATGTTTTACTATTTTTTTAAATAAAAAATAAAGTATAGAAGTGCATTCAGAATGTCAATTGTGACCTTTGTACATGCATGGATTCCATGGCTCCCTGTCTTCAGCGAATGTGCAGAAACTCGTAGCTACTCAAAGCAACATGACTACACTAGTTACATTTCCATTTAGTGTTGTCCCCTCCAGGTGATTTCTCTATAATTGTGACATGGCTCCACAATGGTGCCCTTAGATTCGTAGGTACAGCACGAGGTTCAGCAGGAGGAGCCATCTGGGGGAGATGAATATGAGATCTTCGGAGGAGAAAGAACAGGAGATGAGCTTGGCTGGGCAGGGAGGGGGCATTGGTGAGGAGGAGGAGCGGCTCGTCGCCGGCTAGCCACTGCCGCCGCTGGTGCTGGGTGAGCAGGCGCCGCCTGGTGTGAGCTTGGGAGGGAGGAAAGAAACTGGGAGGGAATGGATGGGGGGCATCGGGGTACTAGGGTTGCTGGTTGCCTCTTTACTGGGCTTAGTGGGCTCTTAAATGGGCTGGGCCGTACCCAAGACGTATTGGTTGGCAAAGTATCGGGATTGTTTTAAATCATTTCTTCACGGATACTCCATGCATACGTATCTCGGGGGGGAGGGGGGGGGTATCGGAGGCGAATCGGTATCAGATACGGTATCCGATATGGATACGCTGGTTGACTGAAGTATCCGTTTCGAGCGCGGTACAGACCATGTTTCGTTGGCTTTGTAAAACCTTTTCTATCTTAATATACATACATGCAGTCCTCCTGCATGATCTCCATTCTTGATGATTTCTGGTCCAACCTGAAATACTATGCATCAAACCACAATACATTTCAATTATCATGCCGTATACTCTTCTAATTCAACATCCTTTAAAATATTGCCTAAAAAGAACGAGAAAAGACTAACTGACACATTATATTGGTGAAGACATAAAGTGCAATGTCATTTGTATGAAGTGAACCCCTTTTAAGAAACACAGGGTAATTACTGTTCAGTGTCATTGTTCATTTTTTAATGTGAAACTACGATGGAATATTGTTTACATTCAGTTTCTTTTGTCTTGCTGTTATTGTAGTCCAAAGTGGATCGAGGATTATTTCGGACTAATATAATGTTCGTCTGCCATGCAGCTTTTAACTCGTTTAGTTTTTGAGCATGGAAGCACTGATGCAGCTGCGAAGGTAGCTGACACAATGGGTGTGGATTTTGTGCACGAGATAATATCAGCTTGTGTGCCACCAGTTCTTCCTCCACGAACAGGACAAGGATGGGCTTGCATTCCTATTTTGACCACAGTGTCCAATATTATTTCTGAAAACAGTTCAACAGTTCCAAAGTCCCTCCCCCCTGATCAAGGATGGAGTCCACATGATTCATTGTTGTCTTCTCGCCGGGATCCGCTGTATCCTCTTCAGTTAAATTTAGTGAAGCATTTAGCCCAATTATCATCAGTAAGAGCAGTTCTGGCATGTGTGTTCGGAAGTAGCATACTATCTGGTGACAGTGAATCATCTCCTACTTATGTGAAAGATGCAATGCAAACCACTGAAGTTGAGAGGTCATTCTATGAATTCGCTCTTGAACAATCGGAGAGGTAATGAATAGTCATTTTGCCATCATGTCCCAATCAACTTCACTTTGTAAGCATCTAAGTTACTTGCAGATATCCAACTTTGAACCGGTGGATACAGATGCAGTCTAACCTTCACCGGGTATCTGAGTCTGCCGTGGCAGTTAAAACTGAAAATGAAGTCGCCGTGCATCAATCAAAAGGAAATTTTTCTATTAAGCGAGCTCGTGAACCTGACAGTGATGCTGAATCAGAGCTTGAAGATGTCGTCATAAATGGAAATGCCGCTTCAAGTACACTAGAATCCCCTAAACATGATGATGCTAAACTAGAGCCAACAGCTTTTATTTCTTTTGACTGGGAGAACGAAGGACCATATGAGAAAGCTGTTGAGAGGTAGCAGGATTTTACAAGTTTTTCTTGGCCACGCCTTTTGCTCTACACATAATGAGAGTTTCTCACTTGCACTTGGCCATTACTTGTTGTGATAATTTCTATGTGACAATTAAACTTGCTTTGTCTCTGTAGGCTAATTAATGAAGGAAAACTAACTGATGCTCTTGCTGTATCCGACCGTTGTTTGCGCAATGGAGCGTCTGATAAATTACTTCGATTGCTCATTGATCAAAGGGAAGAAAGAAGTCTAGGCAAAGGACAATTCCGTCCATATGGTTCCCGTAACTTGGGGAATAATACTTGGCAGTATTGTTTGAGACTGAGGGATAAAAAACTTGCAGCTCAGCTTGCTCTTAAGTATGTCATGTCATTTTCGTTCCAGCCTTATTAGTACAATATAAACCTTTTGATTTTGTGTAGTGAAGGCATTCTTTCAGTTTTAGTATATTTGATAGATGTCCATTTTGAATGCATCACCGTTGCTATATTTTTGTTCTCCAGATAGGCATATTGAGTTACTGAGTGCATACTTTCATTTCTAGGTACCTGCACAATTGGAACCTTGACGCTGCAACCAATGTTCTAACTATGTGCATCTGCCACTTACCTGAGAATGATCCTATGCGGAGTAAGGTAGCTTGACTTGCATTTATTTACATTTCAAGTTCACACATTGTCTTGAAAGGTCATATGGACATATGTTGTTGTGTGCCTGGTCAAGTCATGGCTTTACTTAGTCTAAAAAAACTGTGATTTCATTTATGCATATCACCTAACAGATATTCTGTCCAAGCCAACACTAGGTAGCTCTTGCTGGTTTGTCTTGCTATCTAACTTTAAAACGTAACAATATGTGCTTGACTGTGATCGTGTCATTCTATGACACAACCTGTTTAGTTTGACGCAACAGGTTCAGTTTCTCAAAACTTAGCTTTTACGACCTGGTCTAGCATTTCTTGTTTGTTATTGTATAATCCCACCACCCATTCCTGGTCATCTTCAACTCAAATTTAGGGTGCCTATTATTCTTAATATATTGATACCTAAGTCCTATGTATCCATAATTTTTTTTATAATTTTTCTGTGTCATTTTGTAGCAGGTGCTACACATGAAGCAATCTCTGCAACGGTATGGTCATATTATGAGTGCTGATGACCATTACACCAGATGGCAAGAGGTAAGCCAATCAATGAATGTCATATGATTTTGATCTTCCGTCCCACTATTTTAATTTTTGTGACAACATAGGCTTCAGAATTGTTCCTTAAAAGTATGTGTCGTTTTTTGTATCGAAGTTTTCCATGTTTAAACTTGACTGACATTCAAATTACTAGGTCGAAGTTGATTGTGAAGATGATCCAGAGGGGCTAGCACTTAGGCTTGCCGCCAAAGGAGCTGTATCTGCTGCTTTACAGGTCGCCGAAAGTGCCTCTCTGTCAATCGATTTGCGGAGGGAACTGCAAGGCCGCCAGCTTGTCAAACTTCTTACCACTGATCCACTTAATGGTGGAGGCCCAGCTGCGGCATCACGATTTCTATCGACCTTACGAGATTCCAATGATGCTCTTCCTGTTGCCATTGGTGCCATGAAGTTATTACCTGACTTGCGCTCAAAGCAGCTTCTTGTATGTTGCCAAATCTGACAAGAGTTAATTGTACTAAACTTTTCTGACAAGGATTAAAGTAATACTGATTAATTTTTTCAGGTGCATTTTTTTCTCAAACGTACAGTTGGGAATTTGTCAGATGCTGAGATTGCTCGACTTAATTCATGGGCGCTGGGTCTTCGTGTTCTTTCCTTATTGCCATTGCCATCACAACAGCGTTGCTCTTCTCTGCATGAACATCCTCAGTTGATTCTGGAAGTACTATTGATGATGAAGCAACTCGAGTCTGCATCTCTGGTATTCCGTTTCAACTAATTTTTTGCATGTCAACTCTCATCCTTGAACTTTTTGGGACAACAGAAATGATTCTCTCCTTAGAGCTGCTGCTATACTAGGAACATGTCAACCTACTGTGCTAATGGAAGATTTCTTCTTATGACTTCAGGTTTTGAAAGAATTTCCATCCCTGAGGGATGACAAGTTAATCATTGCTTACGCTAAGAAAGCAATCTCTGTCAATATCGATTCTACTCTTAGGGAACCACGACAAACCATCTCTGCGGCAAGAGAAAAAGAAAAAAAGGCTGCCATACCAGCTAAAACAAATTTTGTGCAGAGTTTTGGCAACTTTCAGAGAGAGGCACGTAAAGCATTCTCATGGGTGCCCCGCGACGGCGGCACCAAAACCCCTCCGAAAGATATCCCTCGGAAAAGAAAGAGTTCAGGCTCAGGTGATAGATCCTCTTGGGAAGCGATGCCTGGTGTACAGGAGGAGCAGACACCTGTTTACCCTTCTGAAGGACAAGATAGACTTCCTTTTGTTTCTGCTCCTGAGGAGTGGGTGCTTACCGGAGAGCCTGATAGGGATAACACAACTCGTTCATGTCATAGATATGAATCCTCTCCAAATATCGCACTATTCAAGGTGTGTTGTTTGCTTATCAGGCTTATCTTTCTTCGAATGCTACTGATTTATAAGTTCTTATCCTGCATTATTCTGGCTTATCCGTAGTCTTCTTTTTTCCGTATTATGCATCAAGGGCAGCTAGTTGGTATCTTTGAATTATTGACCTAATATTATTTCCTGATGTGCCATTTTTTTAGCGGTTAAGTTGGAAATACTGCTAAATTGAACTTGATTTTAGATTAATTTTCTTTCCTACTTATAAAGTTTACAGTTGTGTGGCCGTCCGTTCACTCCTATGTCCCACCTCTTCCTCTCAGCTCTGTCAAGTGGACCACGTATAGGAACCTAGTAGGCAGGTGGGTGGATTAAAAAATACTGTATTAAAAAACACCCCCTTCACTCATCCTCTCTGTCCTGCTGCTGCATGCCTGCACCGCATGGCCTTCCCCAATCTCCTTTCTTCTGCCACATACTTTCCCGATCTATATGCATCTGCACTGTCACTATTAGTACATTCTAATCTTGTTCAGCCGATTATTCCCCTCATTTATGTATCGTTCTTGTCATCGGCTTCCCGTCACGCTCAGTCTCCACTGCCAACACTTGCTCGCTGTCATCGGAACAATGCCGAGGTGTATGCAGTACGCCCGACCAACGCGCCCACTCGTCATGAGCATAGCGTGGAGGCAGTACCCCTTGCTAATCTACTTGCTCACACTCATTGGACGCACTCGCGCAAGAACTGCTCCCTTCCTCATGAGGGTCGAGCTATGCCCCTCTATGTTTGCTGCAATCTAGGTGCAGCACCGTATCTTCAGTTTTCTCTTCCCTGCTTCCTTCACATCTTGACAAAGTATACCTTGTCTAATCACACCCATTCGCCTAATTGGTTCCTGAACCCATTAGATTATAGCTTAATCAATTGCAGTTCATTGCTGCAGTGGAATGTGTATGCATGTGACTCTTCCTTGCACGATGTTTGAATTTCTTGGACGTTCTCTACCTAATGCATGCAGCACAGACATATATAGGTCTTTCCTGGTTGCTTGAGAGCTCAAAAAACTCGTTTTGTTGCGTTCGGTGTGTTCTAGACAGTATGGTTTTATCTCCATGAACAGAGAAATTAGGGCTTCCTGCCAACGGTTAGTACACATGTGATCAGAAATTGGGTTGGGCAATTCAGATTTCAAAGTGGACATGAAATTTTTTTTTTTATGCTACACCACTTGAGCTTTTACAAAAAGAACTGTATATGTTCCAAGGAATAATTTTCAAAACAGTCATCATAGAACTTACGGTAAAAGGTTTACGATTGGAAGATACTTTCGATGTGAATAAAAAATTGTACCAGACTATCGTCACATGTTGACCAAGTGGGTTGCCCAAATTTTCGCCGCTAAAAAAATATATTACTTGTATATTGTAGGATTCTTCTCCTTCAACATGAGAAATTCATCCATTTTTATATAGTAATAGTAGGACTCTTCTAGAACATGAGAAACACATCCTTTTTTCATACTACAACACGTGTTTCGAAAAAGAAACCTGCCTTATATTTATTCTCCAGTATTTATGTGAGTCCATCTGCTGCCACATTGCTTTGAAAAAAAACCCTTGTATGTTCCGTTTGTCGACCTGTTCATAACAAAACTCATTTAAGTCCATGAGCTCAAGCAGACCTTTTTTAGTCCAATATCTCCAGACTCTAGAGTACCAAGGTTTGTCATGTCTGTAGACGGTACATATCACCTTTCATGTAATTAGATTACACCAATAAGCCTTCGGGCCATGGTCAATATATAATCAGAGTTATTAAAGTGAATTAATTTGATATATAGCTAGATTAAATTATATTGTGTCTCATTTCTCGTGGTTCCGTAGCGCAGCACGGGCATCTTACTAGTATTATTGAAAAAAAGAATGAAGTGTCAATATGAAGCAACTTCTGAAGTGTACATAAGTGATAGTGTCAATTTTCTGTCATCTATTTGTGTAATTCTTTGTGAACCAAATTCTAGGCATTGCTTTCACTGTGCACTGATGAGTCAGTAGCCGGAAAAGGTGCACTTGAACTGTGTGTTACTCAGATGAAGGTTGTGCTAAGCTCCCTACACTTGCCTCTCAATGCATCTATGGACAATGTAGCCCGGGCTTATCATGCAACGGAAACTTATGTGCAGGTATGAAAAAGAACTAGCAGCATGGTACTTTTGAGTATCATAACTTGGTAGATTAACATCAATGACATTTCATCAGGCAATCTCTTATGCAAAAAATCTACTAAAAAAGCTCACCGGGAGTAGTGATTTGTCAAGTGGCTCTGAAAGAAGTAGAGATGCTGATGATGTTTCTGTGGACGCTGGCAGTTCAAGCACTGGGGTCCAACATCAAGATGAGCTGTCTGATCTCCTTGCTCAAGCAGATACGTGGTTAGGGCGTGCTGAGCTTCTTCAAAGCCTGCTGGGATCAGGTATTATTGCATCACTTGATGATATTGCTGGCAAAGAGTCTTCAACTAGTCTACGTGACAGGCTGGTCAGTGATGAGCGATACAGCATGGCTGTATATACTTCTAAGAAGTGCAAGGTGAATGTTACAATTTGTTTCTGTCTATACTTTATATTTTTTCATGACAGTGATAAGGTAATTTAATGACGCGATCAATTTCAGATTGATGCTTTTCCAGTGTGGGTTGCTTGGGGCCATGCTCTAGTTCGAATGGAACACTACGCTCAAGCCCGTGTGAAATTTAAGTAAGAGAAAACTCTTCTTTGTTGTTTCTCACTTTCTCTTATAAGTGCCTGCCTGCAGAAGAAATGGAAGATTTAGTTACAAATACAAAAGAAATCAAGGAAACAAACAGATAAAAAAAACACTGCCTTATCATTTAGTTCTTCCAAGTTCCTTATCGTGTAGTGACCTCGCACTGGTTGCTAAATGTGTATAGGGTTGCAGATGGAGTGGTATGCTCTCTTAGTATAGCTGTCTAAGGATATGTGAAACCTAATGGTTAAAGTAAAATTTCTTGCATAAAATTGCACATTTATTTTCTGCAATCGTCCTTTTATCATTATTCGTTAGAAATATGGTGAAATAGGTTGATTTTCGTCAATTTTTCACAGCGATAAGCAGGCTAAAATTGTTGCCTACAGATGGAGCATTGGAAAATTTTGTAGGAATTTGGTATTGCTTACATCCAGACTGTCAGATATGAGGTTGCAATAGCTGACCTTGGGCACTCTGAGTCGTTGCTTTATCTTAGCTTGGTCAATGACTCCATCCTTGAACTTGTTAACCATGGTGATACTTTCTGTTGTACAAATCTTCATTTTTATTGCATTTCTTTTCCAGGCAAGCTCTTCAACAGTTCAAAGGTGATGCGCCTCCTGTTGTCCTTGATATCATTAACACAATTGAAGGGGGTCCTCCTGTTGATGTTTCTTCTGTCCGCTCTATGTAAGGGATTAACATCAATTGTGTTTCATCTTTTGAGACTTCTAACAAAATGTTCTTTGCACGGAGCAAAGTAAAATTGCCTAAGTTATTCCTGTCAATGAATCGTCATATTTATGATGTATATTTCGTACTCCCTCCGTCCCAAAATTCTTGTCTTAGATTTGTCTAAATACGGATGTATCAAGTCACGTTTTAGTATTAGGTACATCCGCATCTAGACAAATCTAAGACAAGAATTTTGGGACGGAGGGAGTATTTATTAACTCAGCAGTTAACCTTTTTTGCTAGACTTGTTTCTTTCTCTAGTTCTGGTATTAGTGCTTGAGGTTAAGAACTGGTTGGTAGTAGTGCCCCTGAACTGAAAACTTATTTACCAGTTCCCTGGCATTATTAATTTCAATCAAGAGATGTGGTTTTCCTCTTTCTAAGTAACTGCTATCAAACTGGCATTGCAGGTATGAACATGTAGCAAAAAGTGCAGCAACCATCTTCGATGATTCCCTTTCTGCTGATTCTTATCTTAATGTTCTATATATGCCATCCACATTCCCACGATCTGAGAGGTCCAGGCAATCCAGAGATTCTCTAGATAGCCAATTTTCGTCTGCTAACTCATACCTTGAAGATGGTCCTCGCAGCAATCTTGATAGCGTCCGATATGCAGAGTGTATTCATTACTTGCAGGAAGTAAGATTTGTCCTCCTTCAAAGGTGTTCCTATTTTTCTTTATTAGCTCAAACTTTGGCATACAAGGTTTACCCTAGAGTTTTCTTTACACTTTCTAGACTCTGCGTACCTGTAATAACCGAAAGACCTAAATTTTGTTCCTGGCATCCTGCTCATCACTGTGATGACCATTTCTTACAGTGGCAATTAAAGCCACACACTTGAGCCCTGTTTCAGGTTTTGGTTTGCCCAAGTCCTTCTGAATTTATTTCAGGATTGTATGGTTGCCCAAGTCCTTTTGAATTTGTGATTAATGGTTTCTTTCGGATACTTGCAGTATGCTCGCCCACAAATGCTTGCTTTCATGTTCAGGCATGGCCATTATGCAGAAGCATGCTCTCTATTCTTTCCATCCAGTGAACCAACCGCAGAAGGGGAAACATCTTTGTCTTCAGTTCCTCGGAGTGATCCTTTAACAACTGATTATGGGACAATTGATGACCTGTGTGATCTATGTCTTGGATATGGTGCTATGTCTGTATTGGAGGATACAATATTGGCAATAACTCAATCCCCGACATATCATGACACAACTGTGATTCAGTACATGAACACTGTTCTCACCCGCATTTGTAACTACTGTGAAATGCATCGGCACTATAATTATCTTTACAACTTTCTGGTACTATCATCAATTTTTCCTTTGCGTCACTTCCTTTGGAGTCCACTGCTTTCACGCTAATTAATTTTTACATTGAAACATGGTGTATCAGGTTCTAAAAGGTGACCATGTGGCTTCTGGCCTTTGCTGTATTCAGTTATTCATGAATTCAATGTCCCAAGAGGAATCTCTGAAGCATTTGGGACATGCCAAGGTATTATGATTTTCATTATCAATGTGTTACAAACATATAATTCATTAGTTGGTCTCTGTGCAGCTCCGTTACATACTTACATATGACACTTTGACAATATAGTTCAGTCTCGGTAAATATCATAGTGTTCCCTTACGGTTTCTGTAACTGCCATATTTACCAAATTTAATATTGCAACAACTTCTAGTCTCTACTCTAGAAAAGGTCACTCGACATGAGTACATATTTACATGAAGTCATGAATTAAACATAGAACGCTGCTAGCACATACATGGTACACAGCAACCAGCCTAGCGCTGTGCCAACTGAACCAAGTGAGATAACTAGGAAATAATTCTCGAGAACAGTCACAAACCACTGAATCATGGTTTCTCGAAGAAATAGGCTTCTTGAGCACCACTGAATCATCAATTATCGACTGCACCAGTGGCGAATCCAGGATGAAAATAAAGGATGGGCTCAATTCACTAAGCTAAATTGAGGCGAGAAGCAAAATTTTATAAAATTCTGTAAGAATTGTAGGTCTGCCACTTGCTATAACCCATGAACCTATAAAATTTCAACCAAAACTATGATCATATTTGGCCCGCACAAATAAAATAAAAATTAAACACACTAACTACAATATTGTTCACTTAACTCTTGTTCTGTTTGTAGCTTACAGCTGGTCATATTTTTGGACGAATTTGTATGCTATAACATGAAGTACCTCCAATATTTTTTTGTAATTGTTGCCACTTCAAAATGATTCTGCTAACATTATGTACTTCTGCACACATATTCAATGTGATTTTCCCCCTTAATTCTGGCGTTTTTTATTATGAATTGAAAAACTTTTATCTTGTTCTGCTTTTACCTACCATTGCATTGTCAGACATCCTTGATATTTTAACCAAAAAATATTTATGACAAGTTTATTGGTGGGTCGCGTGCTATTGCAAACTGAGAATAGACGCTACGATATGTATTGCCAGTGCTTGACCAGTAGATATTTTTGAAATGTTCGCCATTAGCTATCAGGGGCAGTTGACAACGAAAATTTTAATCTATGGTTCCAGTCCTCATTGTTAGAGTTGTACTCCCTCCATCCCGAATTACTTGTCTTAGATTTGTCTAGATAGAGATGTATCTAACACTAAAACGTGTCTAGATATGTTAACAGTGCAATATCCCTATTATTTACCAAAGTAGGGCACAACATGGCTTTTACCTCTCCAAACTCAGTGTTGATATATGTTAGCCGTGCAATATCCCCATTGAGTTGTTTGGGGTCCAGCTCCCTTCGCCTGGAAAGACGAAAGGGGGTCATTGGTACTTACTACATTGTTTTAAGGCTCTGATACCATGTGGTAAGTATGCAGAAATCACCTTATACAGTAAGGGGATACTACACGGGTAACATATATACAACTCAAACACTCATATACTCGTGTGGGCCGTCTTTGGCAATAGCAAGCCATGATGCCCATGATAAGTGGAGTGTACCTCTGTCTCCAGCCAATCTTTCTCTATGCCTTTGCTTCTTGACACCTACGGCCGACGAATAGCAAATCGATGGCAAACTGGGGTTTTCTGGCCAAATTAGAGGGTAGATGGAGCCTACAACAGAACAGCAACCAGCTAGGCTACCGCAGACAAACAACTAACCAACTGTCGACAGAACCAGCTAAGCAGCTAACTTGAAAGTAGTACAAAGCGAGCAGCAAAGATTTCATAGGACCACATCATGTACATCATTCCATTAAACACCTGACATAGGATACGTGCAGCGTTGTGATAAGCCTCATACGGATATCGTCTGTGAAGCGAGGCGGAGCGTATGGAATTGACGGCGATCGCATGGGAAGGGGATGTCCTGCTAGCAGAAGCATGTGCACTGGAGACAGCCAAGGGAGGAGCAGCACGTGCAGGTGGCTGGAAGGCGAGAGGAGCCTGCGGGGGCATGACGGGGATATCGAGAGGAGCCACCTGGCGCAGAGCTTCTAAGGATGCGGAAGCGGGGGCCATGTCGAGGGGAGGCGTCTGGCGCAGAGCTTCTAGAGAAGCCGAGGCGGTGTCACAGAGGGGACAGCAGAAGGAACAGATCTTGGCTGCTAATGCTGTGGTTAGATAACTAGGCTGTTGGTGTAGCATGTGGAGAAGCTGGTTCGGAGGCACTACGCCAGTTTGGTAGTGGGCTAGGGACGCGGCTCCTCTGACGTACGGCGCACACACTGACGTGTGGACCTGGACCCACGCGTCAGTGGCCCAATGTCAGGTGGCCGTATGTCAGGGGATCCGGCTCCGTGGGCTAGGTCTGATCAGGAGTCTCTCAAGTGGTTATTTTTTTCTGGCTAGTTTGTCTGTTACTAATTTTTTCCTCATAAAAATACACATTTCTCCATACAGTACCAAAAACAATCAAATTGAGTTGACCGGTTTGGCTTGTTTTTCTTGTTCGTATTAGGACTTTGGGCATGTATAATGTCCAGCCCACTTAGCTGAACAGGATCCCTGTAAATCAGCATTCCTGTAAAAGTAACTCAGTTACACAGAGAAGTAAATCTGGCAACTAGTTGCCAGTTCTCGCAAAATCTGAAAAAGAAATCATGGATACAGGTCATGCTAAAGCACTTGCACTTACAAAAAGAGCATCAAATAGTTTTACCATTTGCGACCTAGTAAAAAGTAGATACAATTTTAGGGCCGATTATATAGCTACGAATTTGTCTTTTTCGTACAGGTCACAAGAGGTCTTATTTTTTTGTTAACCTTTGCAGGGGCACACTGCAGATGATATAGCATGGCTTGCATCCACTAATTTGTGTAGCATTATACGGAAACTCATAAAGTGGTTTTGAATAATGGGGTGTAAGTGTCAACTAGTATGACACCATCCAGTTATACTACTTGTGACTCTTCTCTATAACACAAAAACTTGGTACTCAAGTGTTATGCTCAAATTAGACTCTTTAATTTAATGCATAGTTCAACCTCCAGTGTGCCACCTTGAAGAAGCACTTCTTGGAAGGGTTATGTATCTTGTCGTAACAATCCGAGCCAGCAGCTTTAGTCATATGAGGGTCTAGAAACGTTAGCAGTCAGTTCTAGATTTTGTACAACATGCAGTTTTTCTTTTTGTGCAATATTCTTAGGCCGCACATAGAAATGTAAACTTACAGGTGAATAGTGGAACCCTGTACTTTTGCAGTCATTTGACAGCAAAGCTGCTTTCTAATGCACTGATTTAGTAACATTATGCAAAACTACTTTTCATAGAGTAAATCTCAGGGAGAGTAAATGTGGTCTGCACTGCTCCATAAGGAATCTAAATAGTAGAAAACACTGTAAAAAAATCCCATGCTCTCTAGAAAAATATATGTTGAAATTGTTCCTGGATATCTTTGCACAACTTGCATCAACTAACTTTCAATGAAATACTCCCATGACATACATGCAGTTTGATTTGCCTCATCTTTAGTGCTGACAGTGTTACATTTGACTACTGTGGATGTTGTTTAAGCAAATCTAATTATTAAAAAAATACTTATAAAAATAGAATGAGTTTTTGGGTTATTTTGGACCTGACTATGCATACTTACATTGTAATTTTGAACAGTGGCTTCATAATAATTAATCAATAATGGTTTGGTGTGTTTCTTATACTCGGCTTCTTATGAGTGCAGACACATTTTGAGGAAGCCTTATCTGTACGAGATAGAACAATTGAGGCTACAAAATTGGTATCACGGACTGCTCGCAATAAGAGTGCATCGGAAAAACTAACTCGAGAGATGATAATGAAATTTTCTACCAGAGTTTCCTATCAGGTGAGGAAATTGTCAAGGAAGATAAATTACTGGGCGAACATGGTTTATTTCCCTTCTATAATTTTTTTTTGTCCATGTTTGAGACTGTTTCTCAGGGACCCAACTATCATTATAAACCGACGCGCATGTAGTTTTTCTAGCTCTGCACTCATTTGATGCTCAGTTTTAAACTTAGGTATGCTAATCGAGTTGCATATGTTGAAAACATAGATGGATGTTGTGAAGGCCCTCAACAGTGTAGATGGGCCTCAGTGGAAGACCTCCCTGTTTGGAAATCCAACTGATCCTGAAACTCTGAGGTTTGTCCTACTGCTTTGCTTTTTAAGGTTAAATATTTTTAACTGCTCTTGAAGGAGGGTACACTCCTACACATGTTATCTGAAAGATACACCCCTCCTGGACGATTCCTATTATTGCATGGTCATGTACAGTTCACATTTTCGCATCATGATTTAGCTTTAAATTTCCTTTATTGAGCTGTTTTAAGTGCCAATGAAGAATTATCTACTATAAATAACTATCTTGTTGTATTCAGATCAAAGTTTTGCTGACACTTGCAGGGATAACTCTTAAATTTATTATCTTTATGATCGGTATCATTACCGATCTTCGCTTTTCCTTATGCACCAGTACTTGACTAGTCCATCTTTTATTGCCTGGTGTGCTTATTTGTTTGACATAAGCTCATATTATCTGCAGGCGAAGGTGCATGGTTGTTGAAACTCTGGCTGAAAAGCATTTTGATTTAGCTTTTAGAATGCTTCATGAGTTTGATCTTCCAGGTTACTTATATTCCACATCCTATATACCTAAATAGCTCATCCCCACTATCTCTATTATCTCAACATGCAACACATGCCACCTCATCAAAGGCCCACCACAACATGCATGAGAACTATTTTTCATTATTAGTTGACCCCCACTAATTATTTTTATTTCAACATGCACACATAAGCCATGCGCACATATCACCTCTTCAAAGGCCCACCCAATATGCATGGGAAAAAAATTCCATTATATTATACTACCTATATTCAATAAATATTTTTCAATTATACAATAATCCAATACAATATATAATATGCATCTTTAGTTTTTTCATATATTATTAATCCAAATGTTTGATACAACCAAATCTTAATGAAATATATTGCAACAAATTCCCACCGCAACACACGGGGTATCATCTAGTTTATACTCTTAATTTTGCAGAATTAATGTTAAAAATTGATGCTTATTTGGGAACAATGTTTGGAAGTAGGCATCTATATACTCAGAGTTACTGACAGACCAATTCTTTTCAGTTGTGGATGTTTATGCCGGTGTAGCAGCATCCCTCGCAGAGAGGAAAAAAGGTGGCCAGTTAACGGAGTTCTTGAAAAACATAAGGGGAACCATAGAAGATGATGAATGGGATCAGGTGATGTGTACTGTTTTTTTGTGTTCAGCCTTCAGCTTTGCTTATAGCGTATCAATCTCAGAAATAATAATATATTCTTGTAGTAGATTGTATTGTTCATGGGAGGATCTTTTGGAAGTTTGAGTTCTGCTTTGTTGTTAGTTACCTCATCAGATGCGGAACTAATCTGTAGCCTATGTAGATATGCACGATGTCATATACTCATATGACATTATTTGTGTCTGGAGTTCACAACTTCCAAAGAGTCACATATCCGAGTTATCGCTAGTACTCTATAAATTTCATTGTATATCCAGTTATATTTCTATGTTCCTGCATGTTTCATCGGGCATTCAGGAAATTCAAGTATCACAGTACAGAATGTGTAGATGATGCTCCATATTTTCTTTTGCAGTAGAAAAATGGATATGCTGTATCTATTTTTTTTTGAGAAAACACAAAAGCTTTGCTTTTCATTGCATAGAAGAGTCGTTACAAGCCCCAAGAAGGACACACCCGACGTACAATAGCTCAAGGAAGGCCACAAATAACACACAACACAATGCCCCTAGAGGCGACTTCCTCCAGGAGCAAAGCCCGATAATTTGAAACTTTAACACAAGATCCTTGTTTGATTGATTACTGTATGGGAATGATCTTGGTGAAACGCTCTTCTGATCTTTTCGTTCACTTTTTTTTAATAGGTTCTGGGTGCTGCTATAAATGTTTATGCTAACAAGCATAAAGAAAGGCCAGATCGACTTATTGACATGCTAATCAGCAATCACAGGTATCGCTTATTCATAGCAAAAGAACTACTCAATTGTGCCACTACATTTCATGTGGAAGATAACTCTTTACTTCAGCCTTTCTTGCTAAAGTGCTATAAATTTCTTTATGGTACCTGTGACGTGGTGTTTTTTTAATTATATTTAAGTGGTAAACTGTGAACGTATTGCTTATCAGTGATTGGTTACCTTTTCTTGCTTTCTTGGGCATTATCATGTAATTTGCTCCTCAAGTAGGGCAGTTAATTGATACTATAAGGGAAGTTCAAACAACATTCTTTAGTTTGGATTTCTTGCACTGTAAACTTAGGATCATGTCAGCAAACTGAAACTTCTATAGTTACAGAAGTGATATGTTTATATGCAAACAAAAAAGGAGCGATCGAAGTTCATAGGTGTGATCACTTTTATATCATGCCTTAACATTATACCTATTCCACTATAGTCATCCCTAAAAGTCATTGTAGCTAGTTTGTACACTGAACCTGCATTCCCAGAATTGTTAGACACTGCCACCAAGCAGCACAGTGGGCACCTTTAAGTGTTACCTCAGACATGGAAGCACATGATTATGCATTATGTGTTTGTTAACTTTGTACTTGGAAGTTGTTTCCAGATAATTTGAAGGCACGCAGCTGAGAGCACGCCTTCCTGGGTGAAAAATAGATTTAGCAAACGTCAAAAAGTTTGGAAAAATTTACATGTGCCCATACATTTTCATGGAAAAAGATCAGCTTTGTGTCATGTATTAAAAATGAAGTTTATTGCTTGAAAATTTGCTTTATTAGAGCACTGAATTAAGATAATTTGCTCATTGGCAAAAATGTTGCTCTTTTTCCCCATGAAAACCACCATCAGATAGAAACTTTAACATGTACATGCGTGAACTTCTAAGTATTTGGCGAGAATTTACTGTTCGTCCCAGGAGCACATGCTTCAGGGAGTCATTTTGCCGCACCCTCTTTCTCACCTTTCTGAAAATTTCCTAATTTCTACAGGAAAGTACTTGCTTGCGTTGTTTGCGGCCGTCTGAAAAGTGCATTCCAGATAGCCTCACGAAGTGGAAGTGTAGCTGATGTTCAATATGTTGCCCATCAGGTCAGCCATCTTCCACAGATCTACATATGGTTGGCACTTAATGATCAAATGAATTTTGTGTTTTCCTTTTTACCTGCATCCATTACAACAAGGGGCCAACTAATGCGCACCAAAATTAGTTCTAGTAAATAAACGAAAATGTACCAATTTGGTTCCTTTATGTTTGGGTCAGATCTGTTTTGGTCCCTGAACTTTTCAGTGTTACTCCCTCCGTTCCAAAGTAAGTACATCAAATTTGAACTAAATCGGTTGGCCGCTGTACTTATGTAGTTATTGACAAGTGAGGCCTATCGGTTGGCCGCTGTTTAGAAGTATTGATTTGGACCTGTCTTCAAGTCGAATAGTATACTTGGAAAGTTATGACACTTAACATGTGTTACCTCAAATTTGAGGGACTGATTTTGAAGACATCTCTCACATATAACTGATGCATAAATGAATCGAGGGAAGTGAAACCGGTGCCCTGTGCCCCCCTTATCTGCAATTTGTTTTGTTCTCTTTTCTGACTTCCGTATTCTCCTTTCACAGGCATTACATGCAAATGCATTGCCGGTTCTTGATATGTGCAAGCAATGGCTGGCCCAGTACATGTAACTGTAATGTTCTGACTGCCGAGGGAGAACTTAAATTAGTACACAAAAAAGGGGGTTTGCACCAATGAGCAGAATTCTTCTCTGGGCCAAGCGAGTTAATGCAGA